CTAGGAGGCGCTCCTTGTCTCGGGCCCAGCTCTCCGCCTCCTCCAGCTCCTGCAGCAGCGCCCACAGGCTCCGCGAGGCCTCCAGCTCCGCGCGCCGCCGCGCCGCCTGCTCCTGCAGCTCCGCCAGACAGCCGTGCACGTGGTTCACGCGGTTGCAGATGACCTGCGGATCGCAGGGCTGGTAGCCTGGGCCAGGAGAAGGGGAGGATCCCGGGTTGGGCACGGGCCAGGGGGCGCCCAAGGAAGGGAGGTACAGGCTACCTGTCCCGTCTGTCCTTTGCTAGGTAGGCATCATCAGGTGCCAGGTTGTGCGTCCCCTCCTCCAGGCAGCCTTCCCTGACATGCTGTGTGGAGCAGGAACCTTCTCTGGCTCCCCCAGGCTTCTCTCATCCCAGCCCTGCACCTCTGCCTGTGCCCCACGGTCACCATCCCTGCCTGCCCTGACCCCTCTGGCATGTCACTGCCTGTTCTGTCTCCCCCACTGGGCTGAGAGGCCCATGAAGGCAGGGTCTAGGGCTGTCTCCGTCACACTGTGTCCTCACCATTGCCTAGCACGGGGTGGAGCCCAGAGCAGTAACCTAATGAAAACGGCGACTTATTGACTGAATGATGTATAGAAACTAAGATTCAGAGAATCCTAGTATCTGTAAACTGTCTTTCCTTCAGAACTGGACCAAATGAAACGTCTCTATTTTCTTTTAATTAAAAAAAAATTTTAATGTTCATTTATTTTTGAGAGAGAGAGAGAGAGAGAGAGAGAGAGAGCAGGGGAGGGGCAGAGAGAGAGAGGGAGTCACAGATCCAAAGCAGACTCCAGGGCCCGAGCTGTCAGCACAGAGCCTGACTTGGGGCGCAAACTCACGAACTGCGAGATCATGACCTGAACAAAGTCGGGCGCTTAACCAACTGAGCCACCCAGGCGCCCCACTATTTTTTTAAATTTTATTTTAAGTAATCTCTACACCCAACCTGGGGCTCAAACTTACACCCCTGAGATCAAGAATCGCATGCCCTATCCACTGAGCCAGCTAGGCACCCAGATGTGTCTCTATCCTTAAGCCATTTTCTGGGTTCCCTCTCTCATCCTCTGTTGCCTTATCTCTTAACTTCAGTGATGACCTGAACTCCCATATTTCTTCAAATACTTCACCTTCCTCCTAGACTTCTGGTTTGTGACAAGAGAACTGTGAAATTAACTTAATGGCTGGCTGCCAATGTTGCTTTAATGGAATAGAATAGAATGACTAGAAAATATCAGGATGCCACTTGCGGGGTAAGGGGAAGTATTGTTTCATACAATGTGTGTGTGTGTGTGCGTGTGTGTGTGTGTGTGTGTGTGTGTGTGTGTGTGTGAACTGTGGGTCAGGAGGTAGACACATTTCTTACTGGGTCAAAACACTGCAAGAGACACTGCCCTAGATGGGATACACCATTTCTGGAATTCTGGACATTTGCTGAAATTGACCCAAATACCAAGGCATCCACCTGAATAATCAACAACAATAGGCATTCGTGTATCCAGACCTGACTCTGGCACAACGCCACCGTGGGGCAGTATCCTTATGAGCCCCATCTTACAGATGAAGAAACTGAGGCTCAGGGAAGGAAGCCACTTGCCCAGGATCAGCTAAGAAGTGGCAGATCAGGAGGCCACACTCTGGACCACTTATCAGGCATTGCTCCCTCCTGTCACCATGACAACATACATTAGCCTCTTTGCTGTTTTTGTGGTGCTGTTGGCCGCCACCAGGCACCAAGATCTCACAAGGAGAAGACAGAAGGAGCCTCCTGGGACAAACCTTCCCAAGAAGGAGAGGGTCTCAATGAGCCTGTCCTGGGGTTTGGATGTGGGTAAGCGGCTGAGCCAGGGTGGGCATGTCCCACTGGAGCTTGGAAGGAGACTTCAACATTTGACCCAGCCCATGAGGGTGAGAACCGCCCCCCTCCCCCTGCCCCAACACACACACCATCTTGCAAGCCAGATAGGCCTTGCCTTTTCTACTGATGCTTCCGGATTCCAAAGGGCTGTGGCTCCAGACACAGGAGTGAGACAGGCCAGCCCTAAACCCTCTGAGCTCTGCGGTTCTGGACCTTAGTTTCCTCATCAGCAAGAAAGCAAAAAAGCCGCCTTGTCAGCACTCACAGCTAGAGACACAGTTTCTCAGGACGCCAACTTCAGACAAGGTCACTCTGCGACCATGGTGGAATGGGATGGAAACAAGACCATTCCATAATCACGTCTGAGCACACACAAAAAAGAGGTCACTGGGCAAGCCACAGAAACTATCATCCAGCCCCTTCACCCAGCTAAGCTGAATGACTGCTACCAACTCCTGTTCCTCCCACTACCTGGATAAAAATGATTAAGATGGGGGGTGCCTGGGTGGCTCAGTCGGTTAAGTGTCCGACTTCGGCTCAGGTCATGATCTCGCGGTCTGTGAGTTCGAGCCCCGCATCGGGCTCTGTGCTGACTGCTCAGAGCCTGGAGCCTGTTTCACATTCTGTGTCTCCCTCTCTCTCTGACCCTCCCCCGTTCATGTTCTGTCTCTGTCTCAAAAATAAATAAACGTTAAAAAAAAAAATGATTAAGATGGGTGATCACCTAATTACTCCCACCTCCAGACAGTATCCAATCCGCAGCAAAAGACACTGCATAAATCATCCCCAAATCACCTAACACAAGCCCACATCCTATCACAAGCCCCTTCCTAACACCCTCCTACTGAGAAGCTCCATGGTTCTCCAGCGTGTGTGCAAAAAGCCAACAGACCCACCTTGGTTTGACAACAGGGGGATTCCTGGCGGTCTGTGGCTGGAAGGTATTGACATCAGTAAAATGAGAACCTTTATTAGAGCCAGTCTTGGTTTTTCCTATCAGCATCCATGCCCCCGATGCTGGTAATGGCTTTCCACCCTCCTCTTCTTCCTCCATTCCTGTCTTTGGAAACAGCCAACCCTACTCTTGGCCGTGGGCTGGGCATGTCACATAGATGTGGCCAGTTAGCTCAGTGCAGAGCCTGGGGTCACAATGCTTGGCTAAGCAGAGGGCATGGAACCCACAGTGGGCTAAAGAAAGCTTTCCTGGAATCTTTTGTCAGAAATATTGGGAGAAAGGGGCTTGTCTCCTGTTGGGTCCGCTAAGTTGCTAGGATGAATGACCCCAGATTTACACCACAAGGGAAGGAACTGCCCGGTAGTGACACAAACATAGAGACTACAGTCAGAGAGATAGAGTCTTAAAAGCATCATCAGATAATCCCTGGATCCAGCCATACCTGAAGCCAACCTTGCCTTTTCCTGGACACTTAAGTTACACTGGCCAAGATACGCCCCTTTTCTCCTTAAGCTAACTGAGTTGAGTTTCTATCATTTGCTGCCGAACAGGCCCTGACTATACATTACCTCACACGGTTTTTCATGGTATTCACTGAGATTTGGCTGTGAGGGGCTTAGCATAAAACAAGTACTCAATAGGGCCACCTGGGCGGCTCAGTTGTTAAACGTCTTTCTTCATCTCAGGTCATGATCTCACAGTTTGTGAGTTTGAGCCCCGCGTCGGGCTATGTGCTGATAGCTCAGAGCCTGGAGCCTGCTGCAGATTCTGTGTCTCCCTCTCTCTTTATCCCTCCCCTGCTGGTGCTCTGTCTCTGTCTCTGTCTCTCTCAAAAATAAAATAAACATTAAAAAAAAAAAAACCACAAGTGCTCAATAAATGTGAACTATTACTGCAGAATCTCAAAGCAGGAAGAAATCATGTGGTCTAACCTCCACCCAAGGCAATAATTTCCCCCATGATATTCCCTGATGGAGGGTGATCCTATTTTGTGCTTGGATGCCTCCAAAGACAAGGAGCTCACTCCTTCCTTCTGTCTCTTAGGGGTCATTCTGCTTCCATTAGCACCAGCCCTGGAAGTTTTCACCCCAATCCCCGACCCCAGACTCACCCTGCAACTGAGAGAAACGCAGGGCAGCAGCGTTGAGCGCCTCCACTCGCTCACTCTGAGCCGCAATGTCCCCCTCCAGCAGTCCATGCTTCTGCAACAGGTCCTCCGCCTCCACCAGGTGCTGCCCACATTCCCGGGACAGCAGCTGAGCCTAGAAGATGGGGCAGCCCTGAGCACCTTTTAGGCATTGGCCTCAGGCAGGCCCCGCCCCACATTGTCAGGCCCAGTCTTGTGCTCCTCCACCCCATCCCTTGAACTCGGATCTCTATCTCAATCTCCTTGTCTCCGTCAACATCTGGCTCTCTCTGGCTCCCTGTGTCTGTCCCCACATTCCTGCGCTCTGTCTCTGTCACAGCGCCACCCTCCCTCTGCTCTCTGCCGCCATCGCTCTCTCTGCCTCTGTCTTTCCTGTTTCCATCTCTCTCTGCTTCCTTCCTTCTTATCTCCATCTCTCCCTGCACCTGTATCTCCAGCCTGTCTCTCTCTTTCCCAAAAGGATTCCTTCTCTTATGTGTCTCTCTGTGGCTGCTTAGATTTCCATTGCCACCCTCGTGCCTGCTTCTCTAGTTTGATCTCTCTCTGATTTCCCCTTCTCTCTCTCAAACTGTCACCATCTTCCTGTGGCTTAATCTCTCTGTCTCTATCTGTCGCTAGCTCCCTCTGGCTCTGTATCTCTGTGGCTTTTTTTTTCTTTCTTCTCTTTTTTTTTTTTTTTTACATGTTTTTTAAATTTTATTTTTGAGAGAGAGACAGAGTGCAAGCAGCGGAGGGGCAGAGAGAGAGGGACACAGAATCTGAAGCAGGCTCCAGGCTCAGTGCAGGGCCTGACGCAGGGCTCGAACACATGGAGCGCGAAATCACGACCTGAGCCTTGGCCAGACGCCCACCCGACCAAGCCACTTCGGCGCCCCTCCTCTGTCTCTTCTTTGATCTTCCTTTCTCTGCCTCTCTCGGCGTCTTTCTGTCTCTTTCTCTTTGTCTCTCGTTCTCTTCCTCTTCCTGTCTCTCTCTCTGTCTCTCTCACCTCTTCCTGTCTCTCTCTCCGTCCCTCTCCGGCTCCCTGACAACCCGTTCGGTGTCTGTAGCCCTCCCTGCCCTCCCCGCACACCATGCCCACCCTTGACCCCCAGGGCCGGCCCCACCTGCATCTCCTCCATCCAGTCCACCATGTACACCATCTCCTGGAAGATCTTCTGCAGGGCCAGGTTCTGCTCGAGCCGCGTCCGCCGGGCACCTACCAGCCCGGTCAGCAGGGCCCACTGGCGCAGGACGCTGTCACGCTGGGCCGCCACGCGCCGGGCGTCGTAGTAACCTTCTGCCGCCAGGGCCTGGGCCAGCTCTGCCACGCCCTGCACCCGCTCTTCATAGGCTGCAATGTCCGCCTCGATGGCCTCGTGTTTCTTCATGGCTGCCTCCACCGCCGGCAGCTCGTACCCGAAGTTGTCCTGGGGCAGGGCAGGCCACAGATGCTCACCTGTTTCCTTTGCTATCCACCTTGACCCTGCTCCGCCATCCCCCGTAACCCTGGAGACCAGCCCCACCTTCCTGTTGCCCCGGAGACCAGCCCCGCTTTCTTCTGTTACCCTGGAGACCGGCTCCACACGGCTCCATTACATATCTAGCCTTAAACTTGTCACCCAGGAAACAGTCACCATCCTCCCATTGCCCTAGAGACGGGGGACCAGGCCTACCCTACCCTCTTACTTAGGAGACCAATTCTATCCTCCTGAGTTACCCCGGACACCAGCTACAACCTCCTTTGTCATTTAAGAGTCTAATTAAATACTCTCCCTATTTCTGATGAGCCTAATTTTGTCCTCTCTAGTTCCCCAGGGAGACCAACCTCACTCTCCTGTTACCTTGGAGATCAGGCCCGCCCCCCTCCCCCACCGCTCACTTAGGAGACCAGTTCTCCCTTCCCACCCTCATTTGCCACCTAGGAGATTAACCCAACACTTCTCTGTCACTCAGGAGACCGAGTCTCCCTCTCTGGTCCCAGGGCCACCAGCCCAGCATGCCTCCCTGCCCCCACCCCCACCTTTCACCCAGAGCCAAGTCCTGCACCCTGTACCTGGGAGACCAGGCGCTGGTTCTCATTCAGCCAGCTCTCCCTCATGGCCACCTTGTGGTCAAACCTCTGGGCCAAAAGTTCCAGCTTCTCCTGCCGGATCAGCTCAGCTCGCAGGGCGGCCTCCCGTTCGTGCTCTGCCTTCTCCAGCTGGCCCCATGCCTGGGGAGATGGGAGGAGGCCAGTCAGACCCCAACAACACCCCACAGTTCAATGGCCCTGGCTTCTCTGTCTGAGGTGGCCCCTAGCATTTACAGCACCTTTATGTAAACTGGAAAAAGATATTGCTCCTTCGTGACACTTTCCTGCTGGAAAACTGTCAGAATGAATATCCAGTCCACGACGTCTACAGTGTAAATGGCTCCCTTGAGCAGTGCACAACGTATACGACGCCACGGAGTAACCCTGCCGCTCCTCCACATGCTCGACCTCACCTTGTCGATATCCCAGATGCCACAGCCCTCCCGAGGCACAAAGAGGCGACGATTACAGGCACGCAGTTTGCTCTGGATGCTGAAGAGCAGCACCTCCAGGTTCCCCTTCTCCTGAAACCTGAAGGGGCTCGGGCTCAGGACCCCCACCTCCAGACCTCCACTTGCCGCCCTCCCTCCTGAGCTGGGCCTCACTTGACTGGCTTCTCCAGTGTGCAATAGGCCGTGAAAGCCTGAAGCTGCTGTTGCACCCCACTCAAAGAGTTGGCAAACTTCTGATTGCTGATGAGGCCCACGGTGCGATGGATCCAGGCCAGGAGCTCGGCCGCCAGCTCCTCATAGCGCTCGATGATCTTCCCCACCTCCAACACCTGGTCCAGGACCTGACCCAGCAAAGGAAGGTGGGGTCAGACTCGTCCCGGATGTGCCCCCAGGTGGTTCCCAAGCTCCCACCCACCCCATCCCTTGGATCCCCAAACCTTCCCGATCCGCTTCCCCTCCACGGCCAGAGCCTTCATCTTGGAGAAATAGTGGTAGAAAGAGACCACATAGGTGATGATGGACTTCTCATCTGGAGCCTCCATGTTCACATCTGGGGGTAAAGGAGAGCAGGGGAGAGCAGGACAGTGAGGGTGGAGGGAGGGAGAGCCCACTCTTACTAGCTGTGTGGCCTTGGGCAAGACAAGTAGCCTCTGCGCCTCAGTTTTGGTATCTGCCAAATGGGGATCTACCTCATGAGATTAAACAGTACTTGACACCTACAAACCACCAGAGAAATTATCCATAATTACTTCTTGAACACACCATTCTACCTTCCACCTCAGGGCCTTTGCACATGCTGTTTTCGCTAGGTAGAACAATGTTCCCTCTTCTGTATGCCTACCTCCCACTCATCCTTCAGGGCTCCACTCAGCTTATACTTCCTCAGATAAGCCTCCCTGTTCGCCCTGTGTAGAGTCGGTCACCCCTGTTACTCTTCCTCACGGCATCTTATCATTGCCTCCTGGAACTTATCATCTGCAATTAAATATTCATTTATGCAATCATGTCCTTATCTTGAGTTTGAGTTCCATGATGACAAAGGCTATGCCTGTCTTTTTTCCCATTGTTCTGGTCATGCCCAGCACACAGTAGGAGCTCAATAAATATTTACGAGGTGTATTTATTTATTTATTTTATAAGTAAATAAATGTATTTTATGTATGTATTTATTTATGAGGGCAGAGGTCAAGGGTGTGGGCTTTGGAGGAAACGTGTGCTTAAATCCCTGTTCAACCACTTACTCACTGCATGTCCTTAGGAAACAGACCTAACTTCTCTTCGCCTCAGTTTCCCCCATTGCAAGACTGAGGATTAGCACAGTGCCTGCCAAAAAGGAGCACTGTAAGTTTTAGAAAGAATAGTCTGGCACAGAGGAGAAACTCAGTAAATTCCAATTATCGTTTTGATGTGCCCACTGAATGCACAATATTACACTCAGCTCTTACTCCACCAGCTCATGGTTGGTGGAACAAATATCCACTAAACACCTACCATGTGCCAGACACAGAATATAGGTACCAGAAGTCCCATGTAGGGGCGCCTGGGTAGCTCAGTTGGTTAAGCGTCAGACCCTTGGTTTCAGCTCAGGTCACGATCTCACAGTTCGTGGGTTCAAGCCCTGCGTCGGGTTCTGCGCTGACAGCATGGAGCCTGCTTAGGATTCTCTCTCTCTGGCCCCCCCCCCCCCCCCAAGAAGTCCCACGTACTGGTTTTCAGTGTGACACTGGGCAAGTGACTTCACATCTCTGAGACTTCATTCCTATCACTTTAAAACAGGACGGATAAGGGGGCATCTGGGTGGCTCAGTCGGTTAAGCGTCCGACTTCAGCTCAGGTCATGATCTTGTGGTTTATGGATTTGAGCCCCTCGTCAGGCTCTGTGTCTCCCTCTCTCTCGGCCCCACCCCCACTCGTGCTCTGTCTCTCTCAAAAATAAATACATATTAAAAAAAAATTAAAACAGGATGGATAAGTTCTATCCATCCAGGTCAGTGTGAGGATAAAAGTGGGAAGTTTTGCTAAAATTCCCAGCCATGTGCGTGGCACAGAGCAGACTCTCAGAGAGAAGGAACAGCTGTTATTCTAGAGATTGGTGGGTCGGTGTTGGCATGGTCTGGGATTAGGAATGAGGCTGAAGTCAGGGGATAATGTTGGGGGTGGGGTTGGCTCTGGAGCTGGGACCGGAGTTAGGGAGGGAGAGGGGGTGGGCTTGGGGGAGCTGACTGGGCTTGGGGTTGGGAAGGGGATGAGGTCAAGTTGGAGGCAGGAATGGAGATGAGTCTGGGGCTGGAGACAGAGATGTGAAAGGAAGGGACTGGAAGATGGGGGCAAAGGGGATTAGAGGTGAAGAAGGGGAGGGGCTGGGTGGGAGCCAGGACTTAGAAGGACTCGGGTTTGGGACGGTGTTGCAGCAGGATGGAGAGGAGTTTGGGCTGGCATTGGGGTCGGGGGTCCCCCCAGGAGGAAGTCCCGCTGGGGTTGTGGGGGGCTCACCCTCAGGGTCCAGCAGACGTGTCAGCCCCAGGTGCTGCTCTGCCGTGCGGAAGGCTCTCTGCAGGTTGTAGTTGGCATTGGACTTGGTGAGTTTGCTGAAGTCCACGAGATCGGGCCTAGGCAGGGGCACAGAGCGGGCAGGCAGCAGGCAGGCTCCAGAGCCAGGGGGCGAGCGGGCAGAAAGACCTCCCGGCCTGAGCCCCACCCAAAGCCAGGGGCAGGAGGGGCACCGCCTCCCGAGGGGAAAGCTGTGTATGCTGGTGCACGTCTGTGCACTTATCCGTGGCCGTGAGTGCTGCGTGCGAATGAGTGGGACCGACTTGGCAATGCACACATCTACTTGGGTGCTTTGCTAAACAGTATTACGTAGCAGTTAGAAGTGTGAGGTCTACAGCTAGCCCACGCAGCTCAAACCCCAGCTCGGCCATTTCCTGGCTGGCTGTCACTCTGGGTAAGCTATTTTGTCTCTCTGTGCCTCGATTTTTTCATCTGTAAAATGGGGATGATAATAGCATCTGCCTCACAGGCTCACTGACTATTAAATGACTTATTGGAAAGCTCTTAGAACAATGCCAGGTATACAGAAAGCACTTAGTAAATGTTACCGTTGTTAGTATGACATGGGTACAGCTGGTGGGTTTCTCACTGTGTGGGGGGGACGGGTCTCCCTAAGTGTATGGGTGTGTATGTGACAGGCAGGGCTTGTGAACGAACATGTGTCCACAGCAGAAAAGGCTGGGTTCCACTCCGACCACACCAGAGCAAGTCCCTCCCAGGCTCCGGGCCTCAGTTTCCCTCATCTGTCATATGGACAGTCACGATGTGGGTTCAACTTGTCTGGATGCCCACCTTTCAGCCAATTCAGCGCCAGGCCCTGGGGTGTGAAATGTGGGTGCACAGGGAGCCGGAAGGGGGGCTCTGCGGCTTGCCTTGAGGAAGGACCACCATGCACACACCAGAGAAGACCATCCATGGGGGGTGAGCTCTCCACCCTGGAGGCATCGAAGCATCAGGCACATGCTGATGTGTATGTGCATGAGTATGTGTGTGTCTACGCAGCTGCACGAGGGACGTGTGTTTCCACGTGTACACAGACTATGGGGCCTGGACAGGTTTCTGTGCAGGTGTGTGCCTCGTGTAAGTGTGAAGGGATGGGTCCTTGCGTCTCTGCGTGCCACCTACATGCATATGTGTACAGGTGTGTACCCAAGGGACATGGGGGAGGGGGAAGGGCAGGGCCAGGCTGCCCCAGGCCACGTGGTACCTGTGCCGGTGAATGAGCGCGTTGAAGGCCAAGCCGTCCCGCCAGCTGGTGGTGAAATTCTGGATGTTTACCTCAGGGTAACTGGCAGCGTGGAAGGGAGAGACAGAGGCAGAAATGGAGACAGTCAGGAGGGAAGAGGGAGGGAAGGAGAGAAGAAGGGAGAGAGAGAGAGACATAGATGGATGGTGGGGGGGTAGATAGATGATATGATAGATGGATGGAAAGATAGAAAGATAGATAGATAGATAGATAGATAGATAGATAGACAGAAAGAAAGAAAGAAAGAAAGAAAGAAAGAAAGAAAGAAAGAAAGAAAGAAAGAAAGAAAGGGGCAAGGAGACAGAAAAAGAGAGACGGAGAGAAAGCAAGATACAGACAGAGATGGAGAAAGAAAGGAGGAAAGGGAGGAGACAAGAAGGGAGAGAGAAGGGGGAGGGAGAGACAGGAACAAGGAAAAGCAGGCATAGAGGTAAAGATAGACACATGGAAAGACAGAGAGTGTTGCAAGACAGCCGGCCAGCCCCGGAAGGCTGAGCATCAGAGAAAGCCCAGCACTGTTTTCTGAGGAGCCCAAGTTCTAAATTTGAACCAGGCCTTCCAGATTCTTACACGGGTTTATTTGTCAAGGTCAGAAGAGTGGACGTATTTTATTTACCAGTTCGTTAACTTCAAATGTAACATTCTGACACGGAGGACTTGGGCGGTCCCTTGCACTCTTGTCCCAGAAGGGACCCTCAAGATCAGGCTAGGGCCCCACCCGCCCAGTGCGGGCGCAGGGTGGGGGGTGCACTTACCCAGCTGTCTTCATCTGACACCACAGGAGCAGTGCGTCCTTGGCGGAGCGTGTCTCTCTGTTGTCCTCAGTCTCAATTTTGATTACTTGAATCTGTGAGGATATAAAACATGGCTGCTGGGACCCAGAGGGGTTGTGCCTGGGACCTGCCGGTGGGGCACTGGCTACCAGGGACAAAGGGGATGGGAGGGGCGGCTTCGGGCTGGGGTTGGGGGTTCAGGAGCGTGAGGGTGGGATCTGGAGTGGACCGGGACATCCACAACTGGGGGAGGAGGAGGCTGCAGACTAGGGTCTCATTTTCCAGGGAAGTCTCCATACTTTGGCATCTGGGCCACTTCTCTGATCCAAACCACCATCATTTCCCCCTGGGCTAGTGCAATCACCTCCAGGCTGGCCTCCCTGCTCCTGACCCCACAGTCTGTTCTCCTCATGGCAGAGAGGGACCCTGTGAGCACCCAGATCAGATCACATGTTTCCCATCCTCTGGACTTTCCGTGGGTCCATCTCATTCACGGTAAAAGTAAATTTCCCCTCGTCATGCCTCTGACCTCCTCTTCAGCAGCCCACTCTGCTCCAGAGACCTGCTATCCTCTTCACTGAATCACCAGCACCTTCCCACCTCAGGGCCTTTGCACTGCTTGTTCCTTCCCTCAGGGGCCCACATGGTTCCACCCCAATTTCAGGTCTTTTCTCACAGATCACCTCTGTGAGGCCTTCACCAACCACTTGATTTTAAATCACAGTATGTGTACTCAAATTTCACATCCTCCTTTTCTACCATACCTGTTATTTATTCATCTGGTGTACTGTCTCCCCATTGCGGACTGAACTGTGTCTCCCCCAAAATTCATAAGTTGAAGCTCTAACCCCCAACTGTGACTGTATTTGGAGATCGGGCCTTTAAGGAGGTAATTAAGTTTAAATGAGGTCATAGGGTAGGTCCCCAAAATGATTGGTGTCCTTATAAAAAAAAAAAAAAAAAAAGGAAGAGATCCTAGGGACGTGCGCACACAGGGAAAAAGCCATGTGAGGACACAGAGAGAAGATGGCTACTTGCAAGCTGAGAGAGGCCTCAGGAGGAACTGATCAGGAGGAGCTTGATCTTGAACTTCCAGCTTGTAGAACTTGAGAAAATAAATTTCTGTTGTTTAAGCCACTCCGAGTGTGGTATTTTGTTACAGCAGCCCTAAAAGACTAATGCACTCACTAACTTATTAAAGCTCTGGGACCACAGGATGTTTGTTTTGTATTCTGCAGTATCACACTTAGTAGGTGTTCAATGATGTCCTCAGTGACCCAGAATCTAAAGCAGGTTCAAGAGCCCCGGATGGGTGTTGGAGACTTAGGTCCTGGACTCAAGAGCTGAGTTTGGCATTTGGGTTCCGAGGGAGAAAACTAGGTTCCAAAGAGGTGCCAGCCCCTGGTGCAGGGCTCCAGCTGCCAGCAGGGATCCCGCCCCCCGCCCCCCAGTCTCATTCCTTGATTTTGTACTGGCAACGCCCATATCTGTCTCCAGCCCCCACCCCTTCCTTGAGCTCTATTCCCATGATCCAGTGGACTCCTAAATGCTCCCCCTGATGTTTTAGATATCAGATTCCTCATCACCATCACATCCCACACTGTCCCTCAAATCTGCTCCTCCTTCAAATCTGTCCCTGGGTGACCCCACTTTATCCCCCCTGGTCCTGAGCCTTGAATGTTGGCCTGGACACCTCCCTCCCTCCCCTTCCCCTGCCCATTCCCATTACAGGGCATCTTTCCTATCTCCCTCCCTCTGCACTTCCCTCTGGCCCCACCCTGGTCCAACTCCAGTCTCTGCCCTGGGCTCCCAGCCCCCAATTTTGGCAATCACCCCCAATGCAGAGGGATCTGTCCAAATCTGATGATGTTGGGGTGCCTGGGTGGCTCAGTCAGTTAAGAGACCAACTCTGGCTCAGGTCGTGATGTCATAGTTTGTGGGTTCGAGCCCCGGGCTCTGTGCTGACAGCTCAGAGCCTGGAGCTGCTTTGGATTCTGTGTCTCCCTCTCTCTCTGCCCCTCCCCTGTTCGTGCTCTCTCTCTCTCTCTCTCTCTCTCTCAAAACTAAATAAACATTTAAAATAAATAAATAAATAAATCTGATGATGTCTATCCTTTTGATAAAAATCTCTAATTTCTCCCCATCTCAAACAGAATAAAATCAAAACTGCTAATCACAGATCACCTAGGCCCTGTCAACTCCTCTGACCTCATCTCCTCCCTGGCTCCCCCTTGTCTCCTATTCTCTAGACATACTGGTTTTTCTGGACCTCCAACATTTCAGCTCCTTCCCACCTCCCTCAGGGCCTTTGCATCCTGGCTGTGCCTCCTGTTTGGAATGCTTTCTCCCTTCATCTTACGTCATGCAGCCATCAGCTTCTCAGAGAGTCCTTCTCTGACCACCAAGTCTAAAATCTCAACACTGTCAACCTGATATTTTGCATTCTTTTTACTGCCTTATCATAATCTATTCTTGGGCGCCTGGCTGGCTCAATCCATTGAGGTTCTGACTCTTGATTTTGGCTCAGGTCATTATCTCAGGTTTGTGAGCTCCAGCCCCGAATCAGGTTCCTCACTGACATTGCAGAGCCTGCTTGAGATTCTCTCTCTCCCTCTCTCTGCCCCTCCCCACTCATGCTCTCAAAAATAAACTTAAAAAATATATTAAAAATAACCTATTCTTTTCTGCATAGCTCTTACCTAGAGTTATCCACTTCTCATACATCTCTTGTCTATGTATTTACGGGTTTGTTTATTGTCTGTCTCCCTCACGACAATGTAAGCTCCATAAAGGCAGAAAATGTGTCGATTTTGTTTCTGAACTGAAACAAAATTGACTGGATTTGAATTCCAGCTCTACTATCCAGCTGTGTGACCTTGAGCATATTACTTGCCTCTCTGGGCTTCAGTTGCCTCCCTGGTAAAATATAATAAATAGTATCTACCTTATGGGGTTGTATGTATTTGGGGTTGTATGTATATTGTATGTATATGGGGTCGTGTGTATTAAATGCCAAGTGCTTAGAACAGTGCCTGGAACAGGGTGAAAAATATATAAATGATCACAGTGGTGGTGGTGATAATGATTATTACTTTTATCATAATTTTCATCCCCACCACTTGGAATAGGGTTCCTGGATCATAGTAGGAAAATTTTTGGAATGAATGAATGAATGAATGAATGAGCAGATGACTGGGTGGCGGAAGCCCTCCTAAGGCCACACCTTGGGAGGGTGGGCTGGGCAGGGGTCACTTGGGGATCACCTGGAAGCGCAGGATGATGGTCCAGACTAGCCCCAGGGTCAGCCGGTGGTTCCCGTCCACAATGTCATGCGAGCCCACGTTTTCCAGGTGCACGCGCTGCTCCTTCAGGAACTGCAGCGCCTTGTCCACGTTTTCCAGCGAGTGGATCCTCATGCGACCTCGCGTGGGTCTTGGCTAGAGTGGCAGGGGCGTTGGGAGGTGGAGGACCTGGCCAAGGGCCCTGTGCCCTCGGCCTCCTACCAACGAGGTCAGCCCCCCATAGCCACGCCCCCTGGATGTCCAAACCCAGGCCACGCCCCTTCAGTCTTCTCAAAGACCAAGGACGTCTTTGCCCCTTCCAGCCAGACCCTTTCAAGAGCCTGTTTCCTTCCTGGATTATTCTAGTTCCTGTCCCCACCCTTTCTTTATACTGAAGTCCCACATCCAACCTGATGGCCACCTTTTATCCAGAAGCCTCAGCAACCTACCGGTAACCACACTCCTGTCCCCTGCCTTTGACCTCTGTTCTAGGCCCCCCAGGTTTGGCCCCTGGCCACGCCCCTCACTGCCTCCCGTTCAGGCTTCGGCCTAGAGCCACGCCCATTGGCCTAGAGCCACGCCCATTCCCCTAGGTCTCCGCGGGTTTGCAGCACTATTACTTCCAATGTTTCTGTTCTATAGCCATGCCCCGCAGGACTTCGGAGCTCCAGGCTCTGGTCCTTTAATGAACCTCTAGCTCCTCAGAATCCCACCCTTTGTGGTGAAGCCTCATCCAAGCCCAGATACACAACTGCAATACGGGGCGCCAGGGTGGCTCAGTGGGTTAAGCATGGGACTCCTGGTTTCCGCTCAGGTCATGATCTCGTTCCTCGTGGGTTCAAGCCCCGCATCGGGCTCTGCTCTGACAGTGCAGAGCCTGCTTGGGATTCTCCCTCTCTCCCTTTCTCTCTCTGCCTCTCCCCTGCTCATGCTCTCTCTCTGTGTCTCAAAAATAAACTTAAAAAAAAAAAAACAAACACAACAGCAACTCATAAAAACAAGCCAGACCCATTCCAGAGTTCTGTCTGGTTACCCAGATTTCCACAACCTAAGCCTCCCCTTCCGATGACAACTGCACCTTCATCCACAGACCCTGCAACAGGGTCCTGCCCCTATTTTACGGCCAAGCCTCTTGCTACCGCACTACCCAGGCCAGTCGCTTCTAATAAAGCCCCTCCCTTCTCCAATTGCCCCACCCCTTCCCACGGAGCTTCTCCCCACCACAAGCCCAGAGTCCGCTGGATCCCCGGCCTTCACCTTCGGCAGAGCCTAGCTTCCGTTCCCAGCCACGCCCCCACGCTGCTCACGCCCAAGCCCCACTTCCGGCCATAGACCCACCCACCTGAGCAAAGAGGCCGCTCACCCATCGGGCTCTTCCAGGACACACCACACGTCGGTTAGCCAGGCCCTGTCGTAGCCCAGCCCGGAATCCCGGGGCCGCCCCCTTCCCCCAGGCCCGCAGGCCCCCTCACCAGCTGCTCCCCGGACAGCACTTCCAGGAGCCGCGTGAGCACAAAGCCGTCCCGGAGGTCGGCATACAGGTCCCCGATGTGGCAGCCGACGCGGGCGAGATGCGAGTTCACCCACTTGGTGAAGGTCTTCTTCTGCACGGCCTCGCGCTCATCTGAAGGACAGGCTCTGATGAGCCCCCGCGCCCCCAGCACCTCTCCCCTTGCAGCTTCTCCGCAGCCCCTCACTCCGGGCCAAACCCTGTTTCGGCCTAGCTCTGCAACAATCAGGGCTTCGCACAAGCGGCTCCTCCTACCTGGGACGCCCGGCCCACCCTTTGCTGCCCGCCTGGAGACGCGTCCTTGAAAGCTTTCCTGAGCCATCGCTTCCACAGGAAGCCTTCCCTGATTCCCACCCCAGCCGGCCCTATTCATTCGCTCCCTACATACTGGGGCATCTACTATGTGCCTCCGCACTCTTCTTGGCTCTGAGTACAGACAGAGGCCTTCCCTCCCAGAGCTCAGTTTAGTGGGGCACAGATAATACACTAGGGAGCTAGAGAAGGTTAAGGAGAGGGCGGGAGGGAATGAGAGCTGTGTTTCAGGAAGACCTCTTGGCTGCTGTGGAGAGGGTGGGTCAGAGAGGGCGAGAATGACAGCCCAGGGCAGGGAGACTGGGGAAGCGACTCTCGAAAGAGCGGACCAGCCGCACCAGGGCAGAAGCTGGGAATGGGAGAAGGGGACACACCAGGGATAGTTACAGATGAAAAAAAAATAATAATAATAATAAGACTTGGGTGTGACGGGTTGTGGGGGGTGAAGGGGAAGGAATATGCTAGAACGAATGCCCCTGAGGAAAAGAACTGAGTCACAGACACCCTCAAGCGGTAGCCCAACGGCCAGCTACAACCTGCATTTCCCACACCCCTAGGGAGCAGAGTGCCCACGTGACTGCCATCGGAGGGAGGGTGCGGGGGGGAGGGGGGAGGGGTGCAGGGTGGGGGCGAGGTGTCAGAACAATGTGGGCAACTACTGCGGCAGTTACTTACAAAGGCATTGCTAACTCTCTCCTACAACGTTTTTATTTCATTTTATTTTTTTTAGTAACAGCTTAGAATGAGCTATAATTCACCTACTATCAAATTCACCCTTTCAAAGCGTAACTTCGGTGACTTTTAGTATAGTCACAGGGTTGTGCAACCCACACCACCATCTGATATCAGAACATTTTCATCCCTCCAAGGCAAAACCTTGCGCCCTTTAGCAGTCACTCCCCATTCCCCCTTCTCCCAGCCCTGGGACACTATGAATCTCTTTTCTGTCTCTCCGGATTTACCTATGCTGGACATCTCATATAAATAGAATCACACAATATATGACCTTTTGGGTGTCTGGCTTCTTTCACTTAGCATCATGTTTTCAAGGTACATCCATGCCATCACATATATCAGTACTTTATTTCTTTTTTATGGCTAAATAATATTCCATTCTGTGGCTCTCCTACATTTTACTCCTCTATTCATCAACGGATGGACATTGGGGTTGTTTCCACTTTGTGGCTATTATGAATAACGCGACTATGAACATTCAAGTACATACAAGTCCTTGTGTGGACACATGTTTTCAGTTATCTTGAGTATATACGCAGGAGTGAAATGGTTGGGTCCTATGGTAACTCTACATTTAAACTTTTTTTTTTTAAGTTTATTTTTGAGAGAGAGAGAGAGAGAGAGAGAGAGAGAGAGAGAGGCAGCGAGCAAGCCTGAGCAGGAGAAGGGCAGAGAGAGAGGGAGAGAGAGAATCCTAAGCAGGCTCCAAGCTGTCAGAGCAGAGCCCGACGTGAGCCTCAACCCACAGACCGTGAGATCATGCATGACCTGAGCCGAAATCAAGAGTCAGATGTTCAGCCGACTGAGCCACCCAGGTGTCCTTACATTTAGCCTTTTGAGGAACTGCCAGACTGTTTTCTAAAGTGGCTGTGCCATTTTACATTCCCACCGGCAATGTACGAGGGTTCCGGTGTCCCCACATCCTCACCACCACTTGTTATTTTCCATTTGATCACGGCCATTCTAGTGGTATAAAATGGTCTCTCACTGTGCTTTTGATTTGCATTTCCCTGATGACTAATGATGTTGAGCATCTTTTCATGTGTTCATTGCCCACGTGTGTATCTTCTTTGGAGAAACATCTATGCAAATCCCTTCCCCGTCTCAGTTGGGTTAGTCTTTTTTATCATCTGTAGTTTCTTTGCAACTTCGTGTAAATCTATAATTATTTCATAATTTAAAGTGTTATCAAAACAGGCGGTGCCCGGGTGGCTCAGTCTGTTGGGCGACCAACTCTTGATTTCAGCCCAGTCAGTTAAGCCTCTGACTCTTGATAGGTCATGGGATCGATCCCCGCGTTGGGCTCCTCACTGAGCATGCAGCCTGCTTAAGATTCTCTCTTTCTCTCTCTCTCTCTCTCTCTCTCTCTCTCTCTCTCTCTCTCCCCCCCCCCCGCCCCTCTCCCCACCTCCCCCACTCTCTGGCTCTCTAAAAAATAAATTAAAAAATAAAATAAAGTGTTACCAAAACAGGAAACTACTGCCTGGCCTTCCTTTCTCTTCTCCCAGCTTCCACAAGCTTGAGCACAAGGTCCACAGGGCACAGGATAGAAAGACCTGGAACCCACGCTGATAGCTTGGAGCAGAGCCTCCCTGCCCACCAGGCTGCCCATCTCAGGATTATCTAGGAGGGAGAAATGAGCTCCTATCTCCTTTAAGTCACTGCATTGCGGGGTCTGTCTCTTGCAACAGCTCAGCCTTCACAGTATGGTTAGCATTTCATTATTAAAGAACTTCATTGTTGCACTTCTAAGTTCCCTAGTCATGCAGTAATCAAGATTTGCATAGCCAGTCTATTTCCCCTTTTAACCATTTGACAGCTCTCAATTTCTTTTACCATAACATTTACCTTTTGTAATACTATTTTTTTTTTAATTAAGTAAACTCTGCCCCCAATGTGGGGCTCAAACTCCCGACCCCAAGATCAAGAGTCGCATGCTCCACCCACTTAGCCAGCCGGGCGCCCCTTTCGTAATATTATTTTTTTAAATTTTTTTTTTCGACGTTTATTTATTTTTGGGACAGAGAGAGACAGAGCATGAACGGGGGAGGGGCAGAGAGAGAGGGAGACACAGAATTGGAAACAGGCTCCAGGCTCTGAGCCATCAGCCCAGAGCCCAACGCGGGGCTCGAACTCACGGACCGCGAGATCGTGACCTGGCTGAAGTCGGACGCTTAACCGACTGCGCCACCCAGGCGCCCCTCGTAATATTATTAAATATCGCATTTGACTCTGGCAGTAGAAAATATGCACTGTAGAGCGCGTGGGTGGCGCAGTCGGTTAAGCGTCCGACCTCGGCTCAGGTCATGATCTCGCGGTTTGTGAGTTCGAGCCCCGCGTCGGGCTCTGCGCTGACAGTGCGGAGCCTGCTTGGGATCCTCTCTCTCCCTCTATGTCAGCCCTTCCCCCACTCATACCTTGTCTCTCTCTCAAAATAAATGAATAAAACATAAATAAATAAATAAATAAATAAATAAATAAATAAATAAATAAAAATAAATAGGGGCACCTGGGTGGCTCAGTTAGTTAAGCTTTTGACTTCGTCTCAGGTCATGATCTCACGGTTTGTGGGTTCGAGCCTCACGTCGGGCTCTGTGCTGATGGCTCGGAACCTGGAGCCTGTTTTGGATTCTGTGTCTCCCTCTCTCTCTGCCCTTCCCCTGCTCACACTCTGTCTCTCCCTCTCAAAAAATAAACATTAAAAAAAATTTTTTTTAAGAAAATATGCAATGCTGGAAAATATCCACTGACTGACCTGTATTTTTTTTTTTTACATTAAACTAGATGTTGAAAGTTTACCTCTAATTTGAAAGTGAGTATGCAGAAACTAATAGTAAATTCACATGAAAGATCTTGTTTGTTTAAATGTGGGTTTTGTGCTGTGTGGATAGGATGGGGACCCGTGTGAGCACCTGACCATCGATCACACACGAAGAAGGGATCACAGAATGGACGCTGACTCGAATATTTGGTTATTTTGCCTTCTAGTGGCCGGTGCCTGAACCAAATGGCAGATTTGAGCGAATGCTGAAGCCAAAGTGGAACTTCTGTGCATCCCCAGCATGGTGCCAGAATGGGGACAATTGCATTCAGTCCTGCCTCCATTGATAACATGCTGTTTGACTTCGAGTGGCCATTTCTCTCCTTTGGGCCTCCATTTCCCCCATTTGCAAAATAAGGGGTTTGGACTAGATCAATGGACTCTGAGTGTTTGGGAACTCGTGCTTGGAAGACAGGGATCCACGAGAATATTGTCTTATTTTGTAATCTCATTTTGCTGGTACCAAAAGAAAATTAATAGAAACACATCCTGGCCCATCCGGATGATGACCTCATAAAGCACAATACCGTGAGATATTGGGTTTTGTGATTGCAAATCCTGTTAGCATGGGGACGCCTGGGTGGCTCAGTCGGTTAAGCATCCGACCTCGGCTCAGGTCATGATCTTGCGGTTTGTGAGTTCAAGTCTCCTGCTGGGCTCTGTGCCAACATCTCAGAGCCTGGAACCTGCTTTGAATTCTCTCTCTCTCTCTCTCTCTCTCTCTCTCTGCCCCTCCCCTGCTTGCATTCTCTGTCTCTCTCAAAAATAAATAAACATTAAAAAAATAAAAATAAAACAAATCCTGTTAGCCTGATTGGGGGTCCAGAACTGAAATGCCCGCAGAGGTCTGGCAGGCTCTGAAAAGGAGAAACCTAGGCCCTCTTAAAAGGGGCAGTGGCCACACAGCACCTGTGCATGGAGCCTCCTAGCAATGAAAGCCCACTGTTGCCATGTCATTTGATGTTCCACAAGGAGCCCCAAACCTGCATTTTTAAAGATAAAATCTCCTTATTTTCATTTTTAAAAGTTTTTTTAAGTTTATTTATTTATTTTGAGAGAGAACGAATATGAGGAGGGGAGGAGCAGAGAGAGGGGGAGAGAGAGAATCAAAAGCAAGCCCTGTACTGTCAGTGCAGAGCCTGATGTGGGGCTTGAACTCATGAACCGTGAGATCATGCCCTGAGCTGAAATCAAGAGTCAGATTGAGTGGCTTAACCGATTGAGCCACTCAGGTGCCCCCAAATCT